CATCTTTAACCTTTTCAGTTGAATTTCCTTGACCTCTGAATATTGCTGTGATTTGGTGAATTTGTTACATTTCGCTTTACATCATCTCTTTCTGTATTTTCTTTTGTGATAGGGAAGTGGGACGCCCCTTTGGCAATCTGTCAGTGCCAACCTGAGCTGCATCCTTTCACTGGGTATTTTCTAAGCTGACTGACAGTCCTTAAAACAAGTATGCAGTTAAGCTGCTAAGGTAAGATTTGCTATATTAGCATGCTTTACGCCGAATATTAAACCATAAATGGATCACCCTTTTATATCTTAGGGTCCTGAGCCTGAAATTCCTCAGTCAGTTGAATCGCTCTTCAAGACCAGCACAGACTATTCCCTTCCATTCCCCCAGACCCTCTCTTCTTCTCTCTCTTTCATTTAAGAATTGCGTTTTTGAGATACGGGGGCTTTATGTGCGTAACAACTGCAGACGTAGGCTTATGCCAAGTCACTGGAGTCCCTTCAAACTTCTGAATCAGTACATGGATGATTAAACAAACTGTTTGCCTCTCTGCCGGGTATTTGTGGATTTCTTCGGGATTTGGGGGAAAGAAATTAAAACTCCTAATGGAACAGTGTTAACAGGTCAGGCCTCTTCTCTATATTAAGATCAAGGAGCTGCACAAAGTTTCCTAGCAAATAAATATAACCCATTAGTTCAAAAAAATTGAGGAACAGTTAACATATTCTAGTTCCAAGAAACCACTGCTGTTATTTTGAGTACTTTTGATACAACCAAATCAAAGTGAAGATTTGAAATAGCTTTTCTGAAAGTGCAAGTCTAAGTCATAAATTATTCTACACCATGATTTGTTCAGATAGTAAAACCATACCTCTTTGCCTGACATTACTAAAATCTGGAGAAGGGAAAGTTAAAAATAAAATGAAACATTTAAATCTTTGCTGTTGAGAACTTCAGATAGATGGCAATATAGCAAAGTTGATAAAAGCGATTCTCAATTAGACTTGATTATTATTTTATTAAGGTATTATTAATAAACATCAGGGTGCAGCGGATGATAACACCATCCTAGTATTAGACAAGTGGACACTGAAGAAAAATAAAGGCAAGTTGCCTGTAATGAGAAAAAGTAGAAGGATGTGGATAAACTACAAATGACATGAAAAGCAGAAATACATATTTGCCCTTCAGGCCTGATCCTATGGTCTTTAGTTGTATGGTTAGTCCTATTAACTTCTGCATAACCACTCATAAATAGGCTGTAGTTACCTGAGTCAAGGCTACCTGACTAGTTCTCAGGAGAACAGGTAGAACATTTTCATGTATTTAATTTTTTCATTTCATTTAGCTCAGTAAATCCACATTGCACTGTGTGTTTTCAGTTGCTTTGTATAGACATCATTTTCTCTCTCTAAAAAAAAAACAAAAAAACTACCATTAATTTCTAATTCTAATAAATTTCCTGAAGTTTAACTATAAAAGATATTCACGTACTAATTCAATAGCCTGACATTAGCTGTAATCCATAATATTATCAGCACTACAATGGTAACAATTACGGTGGCAATATATAACTATAGTGTGTTTTGAGGGCAGTATTTTAATAAGGTAGGTGTTTAGTTCCCTGCAGCATATAAAACTGGTGATTTTGACTGCAGAGCTGCTTGGACTGGAAATCACAACACTTGCCAGTAAGGTTTGGAAAGTGTATGCCAGGCAAGGGAATCACCGCTCAATGTATTTACCCTCTGGGGAGGTAAAACACAGATGGGGGAGTTAGGAGTCTTCTAACATTTAGCTGATACATTAGTGGGTAGCAATTCTGCTTCAGGGATGTTCAGAGTAGTTCATCTACCAGTTGGGAATCATTATGGGCACTACTATGGAGGATTAGATATGATAGAACAATAAGGGATTTTTAGAAGTGCCACTACCCTTCCCCCTCCCACAGACAAATACTTCATAATCTTTGATACCTTTCTACAGCTGTATCTTTCTTAAGAAAACAGCAGTTCTTCTTTATTTAGGATTCACAAAAGTTGTTTAAACTGTCATAGAAAAATTTGACCAGTTAATATGTCTTTCGACTGAAGTTGTATAAAATGTCTTCTTTATATAAAACGTAGCATATTATGGTGTATAATCCTATCAGATAGTTAATGGGAAAAAAGCTTGCTAAAGCATTTGCATTGGTGCTCTTATACTGAATAAGCAAATGCAACACTAGATCCTGGAATTGTTCGTAGACTATAAGAACTGAGGCTATGCCTTTAAAACTACAAATTCATGATGGAGAAAGGATGATCATGCTTTATGGTCAAAAATCAGGAGAAAGCAACTATTAGTTTCTGTTGAGCCATGCTCGGTTGTTATCACCTGATTTTTTTACCTGAGCAATCTCACCTGGACATACATTAAACTTTTCTTATTTTTTCCTATAGTCTTGAAGTTAAAACGTTTTCCAAAATGTACAAACAAACAGCTAATTTCATTGCACTGCTGTCTGTATGCAGTGAAATAAAATATGATTAGCTAGCTGAAAATGTGTAACTTTTCAATCAGTAGTTAATTCAGTCCCAGAACCGTATTCATATAGGTTTGAAACAAAATTGACCTTCTTGTTTATGTAATCTGTACATACAATAAGTGCCTGATTCAGTAACAAGCTACTCAACAATGTAGATTTTCTGAGACCCAGGAAAAGAGGCAAAATCTAGTATTCTTATGAATAGACCCGTCACCTGCACACTGCTAACGCTCTGAGGTTTCTGCATTTGGAAGGGGCAAAATTAGTATTGGAGACAAATTTCCCATATTATGCAGAAGACAAAATTCTCATGCTAGATTCTAGAGCAGCTGAACTGAGAGGCGCCTGAGCGGGGAGGGGCAGAGCACTTCTCCGAGGCTCTGGCACCATTCCCTGCGGCTGCTGTTGTCTTTCGATTGTAGGAAGTTTATGGGGCCAGACCAGGACCTGGCCAGGACCAGCAGGTACAAGTAACAGTGGACCCTCTGGGCTCTGTGCTCGCTGATGCATGAGAAGCATTTGCATAGTGGGATCCTACTCCGCACAGTGGATGTGCGCTGCCTTATTCCCTGCCTTTCATGGCTGCAGCTCTAGGCAACTGAATTATGGCTATTTCACTGTCAGAAGACTGCAAGTGTCAGAAACGGAGTAGGATTGATCTTTAGTACAAAGAGCCCTGCCTGAAGGCCAAGTCAGGATAGGTGTTGAGTTTCCACAGCTCTCATTGGTGTCAGTGAGAGCTGAAGTTGTGCTGCATCTTACAGGACTGTCTCTCTTGTTGAGAAGAGGAAGTTGTGGGGTTTGCTCTGGCGTGGCTGAGGCTGTACTGTAATATGTTAAATACCTACTTCTGCCTTCAAACTGGAAAGGCTTGGTGGCAGAGTGAGACAACAAGAAATCCACGGATATTAACTTATCAGCAAATTTCATTTTATATATAGGTACATTCTTATCTTGGTAAAATTTTGGACTTTCTGCTGTTAGTTTGAACAAAACCGTTGCTTTTAACTTAGTATATCTATCTTTACTTAAACATGTAGTAGGAATCTAAATTTAGAAATGCCTCTAGCTAATGAAAATACCATTATTGTGCTCATTCAGTGTTTACTACAGGTTAGTGAGTGATGTGCCATTAACAAAATACAATGGCATGCACACCTGCATTTTGATTGTATGTGCATGGGTGAAGAGAAGCAAGTGGTTCTCCCTTCCAAGCTGACAGTGCTATAAATCAGGCGAATGCTGTCTTTTTGAATCTGCACCCAGATGGAGATGGACATGAAACAATAGCACTGACAGAGGTGTGAATCCTCTCACCTCATCTTAATGGGGTGTTAAATTAAAAACTTAGTTATGACCATATAAACGTTGTTGTTAAGACAGTTGTCCACAGCACACAAACCTAGCATGAGTCATTGAACACATACATTTTACAATATATTAAAATATTTATATTGTTAATGTGTAATATAATGGAACCTAGCAGATTTATTTCTAAAATTTGGAAAGGCATTCTATCTTTGAATTTACTGCTTAAGTATTTAACTTATTGATGTGTGGTGTCATTTATAAATTCACAGCGGTCATATATGGCTTATTTAGATTAAGCCTGATTTGTATTGTTCAGAAATGCTTGTGAAATACATTATAATTTTAATTTATTTTAAATATCATTCTTAGGGTATGCCTATATCTTGCAATATATTGCTGAGCTAATTCTGAACAGGATGGCTCCAAGACCTGTGCAAGGCCTGGAAATGACAGTTTTTGCCCCATGTACCAGACTTTAAAAGAATTAAGAATTTTGTCAGAGAAGTTAAGTCTTTTTTTGAAAAAGAGCCTGTAAACTAACTTCCTGCTCAGGTGCTCAGGTAGAGGTGACGTACATCAGATATATCCACATTGGCAGGTCTGATGCATGTCTTCACAAAGCTGCTGTACATGTGTAATTAATATGTGAGAATGCAGCAAATGCTTTGCACCCCAGCTGTATCAGCCTCATTGCGCGTGTTAGATAGATCCGTCTCTGTATGCACAGTAAATCCAAAATGTCTGGAATGCCTCAGACATGCTGAGCATACCTAGATCACCTGCTTGTCCTGAGATTTGGAAATTAGTAGATGGCTTCATGACGCTTGGCAGGTTTGGGTCATATAACTGAGCAACCTAGCACAAACAGCTAACTGTAAGCCCAGTGCTATTTCTTTCTTCAGCCTTCTTGTTCCTCTCTAGTCTTCAGATGCTCACAGTGGGACTTGTTCATTCTTTAGCTAAGTATCTTTCTCAGGTAGAGAGGGAGGAGAACTGATTTCTTGCACCAGACTATTGGGATAAAGTCTTCCATGTCCAATAGAGTTTTATCAAGGCTGCTTAGAACAGGTCCCTGAGAAAGAGATGGTGCGTTCCTCTTCTACTTGAACTTCTAATTTTACAAAGTGGATGACCTGGAGGGACAATTTGTCATTTCTTCGACTATTGCTCAGCCTGAGAGATTTCCCAGCTCTCAGGTTCCCACATAAATTTGCCTGTCAGTCCATCAGGAACTGCCAGAGAGTATCTTTGCATTAAGATACTTGGGGAAATGAGTTACTAGATCTCTTTACCTATTGCATCAGGCAGTACCTTTATGAGTTCAGACCCAACAAGTATTTACTTTCTTCCTAACTGGGCCAGTATGAAATGAGTAACATCTCTTGAAATATCAACCTTCTTC